CGATACACACTATCTACCACAACTTCCTCTTTACACCACCAAAGAAGATCACTAGATTTTAAATTTTACTTATGTAGGTCATGACAATATTAAATCAATAAATACGGGTTCATTTTATAAAATTTCAACTGATGCTATAGGCGCAATATGGTTGAATATGAGTACTAACAAAACAAGTGTAAATAACGGTAAGTTATCATGATAACTCAGCATTTTATCCATCCATTTTAGGTTAGTTATGCTAGCGAGGGAATTTTTTCGTCAGCCGGAAATACACTTCCCCGTCCCGTCATTTCCTGTATTTACTTTCTAGCTACAGGGCCCACCTTAGCTCTACTTAGTCAGCAAGTAGCAAGCTACCAAGCTGAGCAACTTGCTCCTTTTTAGAATTACACTCATTTTACCACTTGCTCGGCATAGTAAGCTTTTGGTATTAGTTCACATCAGTTCCACTTGTTCGACATTTTTTTTAGTCCCATGGGAACTATGGGCATGTACGGTGGGCCGAAGATTCTGGGGTGCCCATGGGAAATGTCAAGGTCTACGTGGATCGCATTGGAAAATACATTTTTGTTGTCCGCTAGCGCCTAGGTATGCATACCGAACCTATATCTTGTGATCAAAGAATAACTTCCCTAAAGACCGAAAATCCGAGCAGGTGACTCGCTTTATTGACGTGAAGTCCAAGCTGTTGTGCGTTGTCCTTCGAAAGGCGCTATAAGACGCCAGAGCGATCAATATGATAGGAGACAACCCATCCGTAAGTGATATTCAACTTTAGTTCAACAGCGCACTTGCTAATAGAATATATAGATCGAATAAAACGTTCTCTTCCATATCCTCCCCGAGCTGAAGTAAGCAGTAGAAGAATTGAAGACTCGATCAGACCGCGACGCGTAATGTCTGAAACACCTCAATCTGCTTTGTCGGATAGGTGATGGAGGGGACTGCCTCTTTTCTCCCTCTCTTAATATTCCTCTGTCTAATGTGTCCCTACTCTCTAGGGAACCCTCATGTGCCTGGGGCTCGTGCTGAAGAGGCCAGGAACATATGTAAAGTGCATACTTTTTAATCGGTTGAGATATTTTCCGGGGTGTGACCCCACTGATCGCCCACTAGTACCAACCCGCACCTCGTTCCCCGGGTCCAGAGAGAGCCGAAATTCTAACATTATTGAACGTAAACTAGAATTTTCTTTAAATCCCTATCCTAATATAGGCTACATCATTCCACTCCCGGGAGCCGGGGCCCTCATTCCATGGTGAGATTTGCTTGATGGCTTGAAGAGGGGCGGCAATGGTAAAGGTTGCTGCGGAGACCCGATTGCCAAGTCAAAATAGGGGTGTCAAATGCGAGATATCTATCATTGGCTAGCTAGATGTTCCGTTTCCAGTAGGTAGTTTCGGGTGAAACCAGCGAAGACAAGTCTCTGGAGGTTGGCACGGACCCATTAATTGTACACAATGCAAACCCGAACTAATGCGGCTTGAGTGTCCTTATCGCAGCTACGGAACTCACTCCTCCCTTCAATGCACCAACCATATGCTCGGTGACTTCAAACGAACAACACCAAGCACCAGCCGATTCAACATCAATTATAATTTCAAACACCCTTCCTTATCTCTCGACCTTTTCTATGACTAAGCAATATGCTCCCACGCGATTCGAAATATGGGGGCACTCATCGAACAAGAACGCGTACAATTGACGCCTCTGATGATACCAAAATCTCCCAATTTTGACGTCAAAGATTCTCAATTCTTCAGAAAATTCACCAAGTTGCCCTCACCGGAAGAAGTTCGCTCGCAGGCCAAAGCCCAACATCTCGCAGGAGTCTGTGCAGACACTAGAAAAACCTTCTCGATAACCGGCCCTCATGTGCGACCACCACCTGTGATATTCAAGGATCTAGGGCTGTTTGTCAAATGGGGAAGCGCTGTGAGGATTGCAGAGGGCCAGTGCCTCTATGCTCTCGGCCAGCTTCTCAAAGATCATGTCCCAGTTCCGGAGATATACGGGTGGCGGGAGGATGGCGGTCAAACTTTCATTTATATGGAGTATTTGCATGCGCAGACTCTGGAGCAAGTGTGGGATAGGCTGGAACCTGATGGCCGCGTTTCGATCTGTTGTGAGCTCCGGACAATCTACAACAACCTTCGCCACCTTGAACAGAAGCCTCCAGAATCATTCATAGGTACGATGCTCTCTACGGCCTATGCATTTCCTGAACTGCATCCATAACTCTTTCTCCGCATATAGGTAATATTGCACAAGCTCCTCTATATGATAGAGCATTCCACGTCGAGTCCATGCCCGAAGCAGGGCCGTTCAATACCGTCCAGGAATTCCATGACTGGTTCACTTTCCTATATCGAAAACCAATGCCAGATCCATACTCTGTTCCAATCGAACCGTTCCGTCAGGACCTGCCTGATGACAGTGAAATCAAATTCACGCATGGCGATCTCCACCGGAGCAACATCTTGATAACACGTTCTGAACCTTATCATGTTCTTGCGATCGTCGATTGGGAGCAGTCAGGCTGGCTACCTGTGTACTGGGAGGCCAGAAAGGCGCAGTATACTGCAGACAGGAATGACGAATGGTCTAAAGAATATTTGCCAATGATTTTGTGTCAGTATACCAGCACTTGGGATCCGTGGGACTACTACACGACGGCCATGGGATGTTGAGATAAAGGGAGCGTTCTATTGCTCCGGCTTTTATTGATCTCTTATCTGCACTGCGTAAAATAATAACGGTGTCGAAATATAAATAGCAAATAACAACGGAAAGCGCGCGAATGAAAGCGGGAGAGCGAAAAATCCCCCCGGCGAATATCTCCACATTCAATGACAGGACGGAATCCTAGGGCCGCCTAGATCACAGTAGCTTTGGAGCATTTTGGACCACGGAGATGGCGCTGCCAGCAATGAGGCCCTCTTCGACAAGCTTTTGGACATAACTTTGCAGCCAATCTTGGCAGTTTGGAGCCTACACAAAGAAATTAGGGGTAGCTATTATTTTATACCGATGGGTCAAAAGGGTTGGGACTGCGGCCGGGAGGTAGAACTACTGTGGCGGCTGACTCCAGTCGATCACGCGCAGTTGTGTATACTCCGGGCTGTCCATTACCCACAGTAGCAGTAATGAACCGCCCATCGACTTGTGCAAGAGGTATAATATGGTGCTTGCGTTGGGTGGCATTGAAGTCGTAGTTGCGCTTGAGCTCCCGGAAAAATCCAGTGGCTGCAGAGTTAAGAAATAAGGAAGTGGGTGCTCTTATAGTCGTAGGCTCGTTGGCCAGGGAGTAGCTTTTAAAGAACGTCAAACGTTATGAAGGCGCAAAAAGCGTAAAAGCGCAAAAGTGCAATGGCGATTTTTACACGCAGCAAGCCACGGTTTTTTGAGCTAATGGCGAAAAACTAGACAGAAAGCTACTGTGCTGTTTCAGTTCACGGGCGAAAATGAAACGGCGCACCTAGCAGGTGATCCGTGGGAATTCATCAGGCCTTCAGGTCACGGCACGGGAGCGGCAACTTATGCCACGACCATTTCAATGTTGTGCTGTGCCGAAAGTAGAGGTGTACTGTATGGCTAGCCGAGGTGCATTGATTAATTGCACGACAAAAAGACCTGAAATTTTTGAAAGCGCATTAATGTAACAGGTCGAAATAGCAAGGGACCTAGAATTTTGGCACCGTAATCTTAGCTATCTTTAAAATTAGCGAGCTTTAAATTTACCAAGATACAATATCAGCCCTATCATAATTATTCATGAGGCTAAAATTAATATAGGTAAAAATTATGGAGGCAATAATTTTAAAGTCGTTCAGTGTTAGTGTAACGGAAAAGCGTTATGAAAATGGATTCCAGGACCTTGATATACATTTAACTTCTTTGTCTCGAGTTTCTTTGATGGTCGCCAGGGATCGACCATGTGATCATCCTGACAACTACCAGTGTCCGAAAGAGGACTCGGAAGCTAGCTGAACACATCATCGTGACAGGCACGATTCAGGGACGAAGGGGTACAAGAGTGCCTTCCCGGGAAACTTGAACTTAGCAAGAATTAGTCTCTGTACAAAGAACACCATACGTTTCTCCTCCTCACTATTCGACTCGCCTGACCAACAGGACTAGCCTGACAACTAGTATTTCTTTACATCTGCGCCCGCCTAGCACTATTAGTCATCCTCCGGTCCTGATATTGACGCTCGACTTATGTAGTTATTCCCCTCGTTTCCACTAGCGACTAAAACGACGCCGAAAATGGCTCCCCTTTAGCTAAACCTAAGTCCCCCTAGTGAGGCCCAAGTAGCAAGGAGACAATAAGAATAATTTAGCGGCGACGAGGTATTATGGATATACAGGCCTATTCACGCGACCTCTGACGCAGATCACGAGGTCCACAACTCCACAACTCCATAACCCCACAACATACCTCCGCCCTCACTCGGCAAGCCAATCAGCATCGACACACACGACTCATACAACTTGAGCTCCACCATCGTCATGCCCGGATTGACAAGGCCTCATATACAACAGCTTAGCTCGCCTATTTCCAAGAAGCAACGTGTATCTGCCAAGGAATCCTCCATCTTCCCATACCCCGCCGTCCCAAGCGAGTGCATCGACCATCATGAAGATCTTATGCCGGATTCAATCCAAATATTTCGGGAAATGATTGAGATACCAAGTAAGAATCTCACATCTTCGATACAGACTTGTTGAGATATGCTAATTCACTCTTAGAAACAAACTCATCTAAGTGGGGGGATAAGGAAGCCGCAGCCGCGCGTGCCCTTCTCGAACCGAACGTGACCAATGCGAATCAGCAGTTAATTCGAACCCACCACCCTTTCCTCAGCTACCTCCATCTTGTCTGGATGGTACAAGAGTCAAACGACAAGTGGATATGGGTGATAGCGCCAGATTCGGTTCCCAAAATAGCCATAGGTACTCATGCAGGGGGGCTGGAGATTCATGTTCAACCATGGGGACATATGGAGCGGACAATCGTTATATGGCCCAAACTCCAGCCAGACCCTCTTAATGCTATCTTAAACCCCCGCAAATTCCTTTCTCAAGATGATCTACACCTATTACAGGAGATGTTTCCGTGTGCGCTCGGCGTTAGGGTGTTTATAAGTGGCTTCATTGTGATTCTCTTCAAGAGCCGCTCTGATATCAAAGATTCCTGGCTACATGATGGATTTGCAGATAGTTTCGGTTGCTTACGCCTACGGTACGATATCCTTCAGGATGAACCGATTCGGACTGTTATTCCTCGAGGTGCGGCAATTACTACCAGATCCGACTGTATCGATGGATACGCGGCGTTAGGTTTGAAGCTTCGTTTCCCAACTGGGCAAGAGGCGATTACGGTCCCCACGCACGCATTTGTCACTCTCCGAGCTATGCTTCCAATGCCTCTACTTCGTATGAGTGATTGGTATCAGAAGATCAAGAGGAAAATGGCTCGGTATCTCCCTATCAGAAGGAACTCATCCGTACCAGCTGTTGGGACGGCTCGGCACCGAACAGTGGGTACTTCCCCCTTAGGGAAAAACGTATTCCTTGTCGGGGAATCGCAACAGGTATGTGTGCTAAAGGAACCTTGCCTCCTCTCATTTATGCTCCAAGTTACTAACGCAGTACCTACGAGTGGTAGATCGGTACAATCTCATTCACGTACGACCCAGTCAGCCTAAGGCCTCTTCGATTTCCAATGGGCTTTAACCACGATCTATCATTGATCACCAACGACCGAGGGCTTCCACAAATGGCAACACCTAACCACACACCACAGGTGTCCGGCTGGGGTGCCTATAAGGATGTCTCAGATGGCAATCCTGTCTTTGTGACGGGTTTCAACGTTTCAACAGGGAACGAAATCCGCAGGATAGGAACGGGAATATCAAAACGTGCCCAACAAGCTATTGTCGAGGGATCTCAATATCTCTGGGACAAAGAATTGCTATCACAAAGTGTCTCTATCCTATGGAGGACGCAGAATGACCAAGACTCCCTACAAGGCCTCTCCGGTACATCTTTATGCCTCGGTCTGATTTCAGATAAGACATGCCTTGCAGTTTGTTTCCAGAACTTTGAGTCGCCATTACCCTCCCAAGCTTCCCTCAACGAAGATCATCGGAGTACACCGACCCACGAATATACTGGGATTCGTATCAAAGGTGGGTTTCTTTTACCACCAGAGGTGAGAGAATGCCAAATTCTCTGTGATGCGCCAGAAACACCTGCTGGCTCTGCCACGTACCCTAGTAGAGAGAGAGCTACTGCGGGCTTAAGAAGGTCATTTTCTTCCCATCGTTAATTGCGCACGGTTTCATCCCCTGGCTGTTTTTCATCTTCTAAACTTTCCGTGGCTAGTGCTTAGGATTGCTGTACTATTATTAATCTTGTTCTCAACCTAAGTTTGTGACCTCGGGCCCGGGCGCAAAGTCGAGTTATGTATCCCGAGGTCGCATGATAATTTAACATGAAAGATTACAACTTCGGGATCAAGACAAGATATTTGAGTATCGTAAAATACTGTTAACACAGTGGTCTAGACTAATTAGGGGTAGTATTCCTTGGCACTCACTTTTCAATACAAGTGCCATTTATTATGGTATCGCCACTATAAAATGAATTGGCCCCTATCACCCCTAGGTGAGAATTGTCACCCCGTTGTCAGCCATATCGCCCGCACCCACCCTAGAGTGCCGCTTGGGTGCCGAGGGCGCATTGAGTGTTGACCGTGTAGAATCATTGGCTTAAGGACGGCTGAGTGGACGGGAAGCCCTGTTTTTTCCACGCCCTATAGTCGTATATATTGAAGCCCTAGTCCCACCACAACGTAGGAGCACGAATACACTGCGAACAATTGTCGCGATAACTCATTGCTCAAAGGAAAATCCGAAGAAACAATCTTCTTGCGACAGGTTGTGGACAATAGTGGCGTATGGAGGGTTGAGTATTCACCTGTGGTCCTGTCGTCCACGAGTTACGATAGGCCCATGACCTCCCCTCTTGTTTCCGTGAGACAATGCTTCTTTTACGTGGGCCTCAATGCGTTGAGTTGAACCAGAGACCGGTCAACAACACTTCGACAGGGTGGATTGTATATACTTATATTCTAAGATTATTCTCATTCTTGAAACCAAGCACATCCTGGCTATGTTTGGTTTTCATTCCGTACAAGCAAGGGAGTCCTTATTTGTAGGCTCTGGATAGATGTACCTCTTCCACGACTGCGACTATATAACCAGACATTTGGCCCGGTTAGGTTCTAGGTGTATTTAACCCTAGTAGAAGCTATTCGTTACTCGCTGCTCTAAGATTTGAGCTGCATACCGCACATCCTATATGTACTGTATGACTCTTAGAGAAAACAGGGGAGAAGATGACGAATCGAGTCTTAATAGACATTACCCGTCCATAAGTGGTACCTGAATGACATATGATATCAGATCCTATAGATTGAAACCATGAAGTTCAGCCACTACTTTATACACTTCCAATCAGCTAGTACATTTTCATACATTTCGATATATTGCGGGTTTATCGATGAAATTCTGAGTAACGTGACATCGAGTGGCCAACTTTACAAGAAAATTGATATGTCACGAGATACCTGTCCACGGGTATGAGTAAATGTCAATAGGTCCCTCACATACACAGCAATACTCGAATAGAAGAGCTCCACGGGAATCTGCAGAGTAATGACCATGGTGGTTATAAACAATATCGAGGACCGATAATATTAGGAAGTATGAGTGGTGGAGCGTGAGCTCAGTCGTCAGGTTTGCCGCAGCTCCTAACTGAACCAGGATTGGCGTCATTCAAGTGACCCACACAGTGGAGTAGCTTGGCACACCCTAATGTGGACAGTATGTGGATGTTGATGAAGGTGTCAGCACATACGATGCATGGGGGACAGAAGAGAGAGCTAGAACAATGATAGGGCATTGAGTAGCTAACTTGGAGCTATCTAGGGAGGACGAAGCAGTATGTCAAGGAATAGAAGAAAAGATCTGGCAAAGCCAGAGAGCCCTCACACGAGGGCAGATCTCCGCCATAGGTCACATGACCACTAATGTCATCACATATAATATGCATCACTCTTCTTCCACCAAGCCGGACACCTATAGTTTGAAGCTATCTTGCTTTTCTAAAGCCTCCTATTGCAGCTATCATTATGGCACCTCATACTCGAACGACCTGCTTCGATGCTCGATTGCTGCGCGGCCTTATAGGCACTATGGTCACCACATATGACCTTGTCTCGGATGGCTCGTCACCAGAACCCACCTCCCTCGCCCCTTCCACTGAACCCTCTCGCGCTAAGACCTCCCCTGACACACCCTCTGCTCTAGTAGCTTCTCCAATGACAGTCGTGTCTGCCTCGTCAGGGGTCTCCCGCACGTGGGTCATCACGGAGAAGCTCTCGGAGAGAGCAGCTCCTCTGACAGATCACGATGTCAAGATGGGCCGCGGGTCAGCTAAGACTGTTGGCAAGTTTTTGTGCTACCTTGCAGAGGACCCAGAGCAGATAGCGTTCATGCGTATCTACCAACAGATTCCCATCACTGGAACGGAAGACGCTAGTAACGACACACTGGCTAGACAGGCCGTTCCTCCTGGGGTCTGTGGTGAGCTAGAGTGCTTCAAACTGTTGCAGAGTGGACGCTGTAGTGCTGTTCCTCGCTTCCTTGGCCACGCAGAAAGTACACAAGGAGATGATGGCCTCCTTCCTGGTGGCTACATTAGATACCTTGTGTGGGAAAAGGTCCCTGGGGAGCCTCTGACAGAGGAATTCTTCTGGGGTTTGGATGACACCGCACGCAAAAACATCCGTTCTAAGTTCTGTGCCGCCTATGAGTAAGTATATGCAGATCCTAGGCAGGTAGACAGGATATTGATATAATCAAAGACAGGTACTTAGTTGCGGGATAGCACCAGGCCAGTCCAGAATCTCGAAGATCATCTTTGATCAGCCCACAGGCAATCTGCATGTCAGGCATGCTGTATAAATGCGTCGGAAATATATACTAACGAATTACAGTCACATCTCGGGGTTTCGAAGGGGATGGCCAATTATCAGTAAAATTGGATGGTCAGAGGCTCGTTACGTCGAGTTTGGACTGGCGAAGCTAAGCGGAGAGGTAGACTGGTACCTTCACCCGGAAAATTGGCAGTGGTAAATTCATTTAGCCGCCGCCCACACCCGTCTCGACGACCGCCAAACCATCCGTTACCTCAATACCGTCGGAGCGTTTGGTCCCTTCGACCTGATGCCTGGACGGAGCCGTACCCGATCACCCGCGAACGACTCCCGTGGAAGAGTTGAAGTGGAGGCGCAATAGCATGGGGGCAGGATAGGGGGCAACACGACTGGCATAAACTGAAACATGTTAGTGAATCTAAGGTTCTCTGCAGGAGGCCAGTGATTTTCGTGAAGCCGGTATCCCCGCCCACTCACTCTTCTTTTGTGAGTTATCGCACCGGGAGGAAGACTCAGGAAAGGAAATCGGAAGAGAGTCGATAGTGATTTAAAGTTCAGCAGGAAGAGTCTTTGAATTCGCGAGCGTTGTCTTCTGAGATTAGCCTTCGGAGTCTTCACGCACTGTCACTGGAGGGTAATGCGGCGCGGCGGGATCCATGAGGCATAAGCAGTGGGAAAAATCTCCGATTCGAAGTGTGCCTGAACCGGCCAATAACCTGTTGGCCTCGGGCCAAGTCAGTATTCCAGAAAACGAAGAGCCCTTGCGCTGTAAATCAAAGGCAGATATGGAGAGAAGACCCTTGTATCGAGGCTATTCACAGCTTTAAGAATGAGCATAGCGCAACCCAGTTGTGCATATATCTTGTAGTGTCCAAGCCACAACAATAATCGTCTGACTGACGTAAGATCGACTACCTAGTATACTTCTTTCTATAGACCATGGGAGGGGGGCTCATCCCCAATTCCGGATGGCGAAAAAGCCTGGAAGATAATTGAACATGTCGATGGGAGGACCTCGGAAGCATCATACTGCCGATCTTATCTATTTAGGCCAATCTTCTACGGACACTGGTCCGTGTCTCTGTACTTCCTCTCAATACGGCATATTCTGAGGCACAGCCGACAACGATGGTGGGTGATTGAGACTTTTCAACAGGAGGAATAGACTCAAATTCTTCAGGTTCGCAGTTGTAGTAAGTAGCGCATGAAGAGGTCGAATCCCTCTTGGTTCTTTTTCTCGAAATTTAAGGTCTCTTGAGGCTCTTACAATCAAAGTACCATGAACGGTTGAATCGGGCATGGAGAATACGTCCCTGCCTTGGGCCAAACAGCGAGATAACGAGAACCTGTAATTGGTATAATATTAGCGCCGACTTGTCGTAGTATAGAGATCACTAGGTCTGTACCGGAAAACTCGAAGTCTGCTTAAACTCCTCTTGGAAGAGACGGCACTGGAGACGGCACTGGATTGCATTGACAATCGGCCCAATCTCTCCATGGAGAAGTCCGTCATACTTAGCCACCGCCCCGGTACATGTCATAAGCATAATATGCGGGCGGATTGTATCCGTTTTCTCAGGATCCTCTTGCCATTGTCACCAAGACACAGCGTCCCCGGAAGATCGCGAGGGTTCAATGCATCATTGGTAAACCACATAGCATTCCTTGTGGTCCATCACGAAAATAATCCTCGGCCCTAGATAAATAGATCTCATTAGTAGAATTTCCAAGTAGTTATAAGTAATAGGGATGGGTGAACGATGGAATGAAGAGAGAAGAGAAGAGGGGAATTAAACTTACAAGATTTCATACCATTTCGAGTGATCCCTCATCGAAACGGTATTCTTTTCGGAGTAGCCATAGAGGATTCCGATGTAACTGGCGATTTGAAAGGCCTTCTCATACATGAGGTAGGTCTCTGGTAGTGGGTACGACGGAGAATAATGAAAGGCCTCGTCGAAACCGTCATAGTGTTCGGGGAGATCAGCGCATACAGGCTTAAAGTCGGGGAGCTTATGACAAGTTTGATCAGCGTCCTCCGTGAGATCGACATGGTGGAGGAAGACGTCAAGTTCACGGAGGGTATCACGGTCATAAGAACCCTGGCTTTTCGACTCAAGCTCTTCCAAGATAGAGTCCGCCTTTTCTTCGAACTTTTTTATCAGGGCATCACGGTCCTGCGGCGTATTCACGGGCGGAGAAGACATGATGAGCGGCGTGGGGAGGCCATGAAATTGGTTCAGAGGATGAAAATGATAGAGAAGTAGTGAAAATCGAGAGGTGGAGGGGTGGAAGATGGATGGAGTTAAGAAACAAACCTAAATGTCGTGAAAAACAATCCAATCCAGAACCCATACGATGATTCCTCGCTATTACTACTTGGACTAGCAGATTCATGAGCAAGTGCTACTCGACATGTCTCCTCGATCAGTAGCGGATAGGCTTGTCTCCCGCGTCTTGAAGACCTCAGATCCTTCTCTCGGTCTGTCCATTGATCTATGGACTTTCATGATTGTATGCGACACAGAGCAGTTGTGGTCCATGTGCCGACATTCCAAAAGGAGTACGAGCAATTTTGGCAGAGCCTACAAGACATGTCCTTTACCTAGACAGCCTTGCTGTACGCGATCCTGACCTTGGCTGTCTCAATGTACCTTCGAAGCGAGGAACCGCTGCCGGTTAATATGATCGATCCCATCGCCCTCTAGAATGTCTTTCGAAAGAGAGCGGCCTAATCCCTTATGCAAGGAGAATATCTAACGCGAGTCGCATTGGTAGTCTCTCCTCGACCAGCGATGAACAGGACATCCCTATGATTGGTATGTCTCTGACTGCACCATTCATCCTCGACCTGGCTAATCAAAACACCAGACGAGATGATATTCCAGCCAGCATCAGCACCAATAAATCGCCAGCGAAACCCGACGTATATTTCTGCTGGCGGCATGCAGACAGCAGCGTTTTATCCCACGGAGGCGCCCACTTACTCTTCGCTGCGAGTGATTGAAGACATGCTCAATACGCGAGCCCAGCTAGATTGGAGCCTCTAGGACAGCCACATATTTGGGCTCGAAGCCACCGACCAAGACAATAATATATAGTATCCTACTACAACGACAGCGCCTAAGTTGGATTTTGGTGGATATACCTCTGGGCTATGACGAGGTCTAATACATAAATATCTTGAGATTTACGACTGCGTGGACTATGAAGGAACATTGGATCATTCATTGCGCATCTGCTTTATTCTGATCGTTTCTCGATGTATTTTATGTTATGGTGCTCACTTCGTCTACAACTGCATGATGCGATCGACGGAGCCTCGGTCGCAGATCCCGATCCATCGCGGAACCGGCTTTCTTCCTGACGGCATCTCTAAAACTTCAACCTGCCCATCCGCCTCTCTCTCCCCCTGCACTCCTTCATTCCTCCATTCAATGCGACGAATTAACACTCTGCGACACACAAGTCGCACCAGTCGCACAATCATCTCTCCCCGATCTCAAATCTCCGCATCATCGCTGCGGCCAGCGACGAAGTCAATCAGCACAACCCCATGCCCACGCCCACGCCAGGCGCCCTTGACACAATCATGCCCATCATATACAACCCACCGATCCTTCAACCTGTCCGCCCTCTCGTCTTTCCTCCCCTCCACACCAAGCGGCAACAATAATAGCGACCCCAAACGCGTCCTCACAGCCACCCGCACACTCCCCTTCTCACCAGGCCTCCTCTTTGAAGTCATCTCCTCCGTTGAATCCTACTCGCAATTTCTCCCCTTCCTCACAGCCTCGACCGTGACAGCCCGCGACCCAGAATCAGGGTACCCGACCCAAGCTTTCTTGACAGTCGGCTTCGGACCCTTCAGCGAGACATTCACCTCGAAGGTCGACTGTGATCCGGTCAAAGCGACCGTCGAAGCTCGGAGTGGAGCTAAATATGGCCAGAGTGCTTTGCAAAGCGATAGCAGCAAGGGCGGGTTGAGTGGGTTCTTTCCCGGCGCGAACGAGGGTATCTTCGAGTACCTCAATACTCGGTGGGAATTGGTGCCGCTGGCGTCGGTGGATGCGCAGGGCGGACCGCAGACGAAGGTCAATCTGGAAGTGCGGTTTGAATTCAGGAATCAGATGCATGCTACTATCATGAGTGCTGTGGAGGGGCAAATGGCTAGCGTGATGATTGAGGCGTTTGAGAAGCGCATTCGGGAGACACATACGAAGGGGCAATGACCATTGGAATTCACCTAAGTAGTGTTTCGGTGGGATATACATACACATAGATGGCATAGAGCATCTCCGCAATGGAGCAGTGTATAAAAGCGCAATTGCATGTCCACTTTATGGATCCGCTGTATAATTTCAAGATAATTGTGTAATAATGGCGAAGAGAGACATACAGTACAGATTATATAAACAAGGCTTTTCCACTTAGAAGTTGGGTAGCCTAGGGTTATTTGGACAGGATTTAGACAGGGAGTGACGGATGGATTCTATGAATTATGTCGTTTTTCTCATTTTCTTTTGATCCTCTGATCTGCAGATGGAAAATAAAGCATGCGAGTAGTAAAGGCAACACTAAGACCAGCCATTTGGCCTCTCTATCTCTCTATGTTCGTTCATCCAATGCCTCAGACCAGCAGGTCGTGAATCGAGGCACGACAATCAAACCGTAATTTGTCATATACACTAGAACATGTCATCCTCAGACTGGAACCCCAAGTCCCGATCCAGATCGCCGGTAACTTCGGGCCTTGCCTCGCTTATTGACTGATAACGAGAATGCATTCGATGAACGTCATCAGTATCCTTCAAAGTAAAAGAGAACGGATCCTGATTGTTTTGATATTGATCTAGCGGAGGTGTTGTCTTTTCAGGTTCGCAAAAGGTTTCTGTGTTACTATACTGATTCAGGTTGGTGTCTTGAAACAGCTCTTGTGCCCAGTCAACCGTGTCTTGATCTTGGGGTGGCGGTGACATATAGGGTTTATCCGCGTTGTTTGGCTTCATTGGGTCGGGAGGGGTTTGAATATCGGGGAAAGAGTCGATGTCGATGGAGAGAAAATTGAAAGGATTATTGTCTATATCGCCGAGATCCGCATAATGGTCGAAATCGTTAGAAAATAAAGGTGGCGGGGGTTCATGTGTCGTTTCCTTGCTGGTATTTCTTCGATGCATGTTCTCTTGCGTAGATGAGTCTCGTACTCGCGGCTTGGAAGTCTCGGTTGCAGTAACAGGCAGATGTGGTCGGGTTTGAGAGATGGAATTGGCATTGCTTGGTTTCCTGGTCGCCAAGGATGTGGCAGGAGCGTCAAGGTTGTATTCCATGACTTCGAAGAATGTACTGGAGGCACCTGCCTGCATTTTGATGGCGGCCTCGATGTTGGCGAACTCTTGACCGGCGGCTGGATAAATATCCTTAAGACAGTGGAGTACTTCGATACACCGATGGAAATTGTCGACACTGCTTTCGCGGACAGCAGGGTCGCCGGACATTGTGTTGGTTAAATGCGCTACGGCAGCAGGTAGAATGACAGTCACTCCAGACTGCGGTAGGAACCTTGTCAGGTTGAGGTGATTTAATCCTTGAATAATATGTGTGATCCCCGCAGCAGCATCGTTCATTTTCGTACGGGCAGCATTGCGCCAGTCCGTCCGCGATTTAGATTGATCCTTTGCAGCAGTCGCCCGAGGCCGGTGAAGTGCGCTGCTGGTAGCATGGTAGAGCATACGTAGCATGGCACCATGAAGCAGCAGCACATCCTCGCCATCTTGGAAATTCTTCCCCGACTTCGGGACGAATTGTGCATCTTTAGGAACGGCACTAAGCCACGAGTCCAGTTTCTGGCCGCATCGTGCAAACTCAGACTCGGAAGCCTGTCGAGGAATAAGGGTGACCGTAGTCCGGCTTGTAGCTCCAAATTGCCGCTGAGATGGTGTATATTGCGCGAATAATACCCTACCAATACATTGACAGAGTTTCACCTTCTCAATGAACATGGTGGCGAGGCGTTTCTGATGTGACACATCTTGGAGTTGGCGGCAATAAAACTTGGCCACCACATATGGAGAGAAAGGTTCAAAATCAAAATCCTCCAGTCTGAGCATTGGGACACTGCTCGTTCCATCGTTAACCTGAAGCGGGCGCCGCATACCCATGGCGATCAGCCGATCTCGAGAATACAGACACCACCAAAGCCGAGAACGGAGCTTCCGAGTCCGTACATCGATTTCGCCTGATGCGGGGTCTTTGTTTAAGCCGATTGACTGTGCTTGTGTGTTACAGACTCCAATCCAATCCCAAATATCACGCTGTGGACTGTTCTCTGAATCAGACCAGTAGGTCATCAACAGTAGTGTCTGGAGAATCTCAATGCGATCCTCTTCGCAGTCAAGAGAATAGAGTAACTATCGATTACGATTTAGTGGAATAGTCTCACAGCCGCTTGGAGAAAGACAAACCCTTAGTCGAGTAAAGAACGCATTACGTGCACTTTTCCGGGTTGAATACCCGGCTTCCTGCAGATGCTTGAGGTCGACGAAGGCAGTACCAACAAACATAACCGCCTGAAATAGGAGGATACTAACATTTCCCTCCGGGTCATTCTCAGCCACACATCGTAAAAACTCTTGCAAGTTCAAAACTGGCATGAAACTGTGCACCCATTGGATGTAGCAGCGGAGAAGCTCATCCCGCAATCCACTCTCTGGAAGAGAGAGGGCGCCACGGAATCTCAAGAACTCCAAGTCCTCCGGGGCGATGCGAGCCGGTAAGGGCTTTAAAAACCGGGGCTCGTCGTCCAGCATCGCCGTGAGTGGGTCAAAGTCCGGGTCTATCAGGTCTTGGACGGCAGATACCATATTTGATAAGGGCATCGAGTGTTGCACATCGGGATTCCCCCGTGTCCGCCATATCCTGGCAGGTTCTGACTCGTGTAGCCATGGGGACTGTGGATCGTATCCACGAAGATGGTGGCATTTATCTGTTGGCTCCTGAGAATCTGCCAACTTGCGTTTAAGACCGGGGGCTGAAGACATGACCTCTCATGCACGATGTGGTCATATGGTCCTGTTTGGGAGTACAAACATCCAATTTTGTTACACGCATAAGCCCTTGGCCAAGCCCGTAGGAAGGCGGTGTTCGGAACTGGGGCAATGTGGGGGCGTTTTGCGGGGTCTTGGCGCCCTGGGGAAATCGCCGTTCCAAACATCGCGGGTTGGACAATCTTCGTTTTTCTGTTCCATTGGCGACTTATTTAAATCGGTATAATGCAAGTGGCTGGATCCGTAAAGGTGTCCGTTTTATGTAAAGTCCTCAGGTCACTATATGTACTATCCATGCTGGAAAAGCCCGAAATCAAATCAAAATATGGGTATGCTACCATTACATTATGGTATATGGGTTTGATACGTCGCATTATGATAGAACAACGTAATAAGCAATGGTATTAATCTAGTCCGAGGCCGCGAATGCAAGATCAGGATTCAAGATGGCGTTTCCATCAACTTGAGAGGATGCGTATCATAGTAGACTAGGCGAATCGCTAACACATCGGAGACCCCAGTATCCAAGTGCTCAAACTTTGAAAGCACCCAATAGCATCATTTTAGAGCCAAGGGGCTACCTGGGAAATGATATGATCGCCAATATATTTTTCCGCCCCGAGACGGTGATATGCATATGAGCACTGGTCCCACTCCAATCTATTTTGTACCTCTGCCATCCATGTGTATTCTGCAGCCTATAGAACTCATTGTACGCCTCAAATGCGACCAAATAACCTGTGCCCTTACTGAATTGAGTATTCTAATTGGTCGAATCCTATATGTTTCGTCACGCTTCTCTGCCCTTGTCTGCCTGGCATATCACTAGAAGCGTCAGTACCGCGCGACATTTCCATCGCCACACAACAGATTTCATTATCTATGATACGAAAGGAAATCTAGTTACGAGGAAAGTGCCTACTATCATTGGGGACCCCGGAGAAACTTATGTTCTTGGTTGAGCAAGGAGTTGGTACCGCATTCCGTGCTGCTAGTCCTCTAAAAAGCGCCTCTGCAGCTGGTGATGAAGACAGATGTAAACTTACATTCTTCCATGATTCGCTACACTTCGGATTTTGTCAGTTCTCAATGTGTAAGAGTTTTGATACAGCCGATGCCAATTTGTTCTCAATGCTAGCTTCATCGAGTTATCCCCACCTCTAAGTCCCAAGCCAACTTCCTCGCCAAACAGAGTTAAACACAACTCCTGCAACCTTATTCTTGAGCGGAGTGATGCACGACGTAGCTTTGGATGGCTCCCGATGGTAGAATCAAATCCCCACCCCTTCCCGTCTTACCGATACTAATCCATGTCTATGTAGCAAAATTTGCCGAGCTTGCAAGTGCTAGTTTCAAGAATCTGGAAGGCGCTCTCAAAGCGGAAGGATATGTGATATCAACTTTCCCCCTCTCTGCAGCCGTACCGAGTATCGTTTGAAATAATACCGGGAAGACGGGTCGCCAATTGCCGAATTAAATCCGGGCGAAGGGTCAATGGGAAATGGAGAATCCTAATGTCATCGAGATCATTGGGCTAGTATCCAAGTGATGCTTTTGCTATCAAGCGCGTTATGGTATGGCCAGTGGCTCAGAGACCTAGTTCTAGCCTCTTCCAAGTCATTAGGGACTAGGTCGTAATTACCTTGGACCAAAAGTTGCATTGTACCACACTGCTGGACCTCCAGCAAACGGCAAATTCCTGATATTCATGAATCGCAAAACAAGACATAGCATGTCTGATAGCACATGCCCTGCCAATAAAATATTGTACAAATTATCCAATCGAAAAACCACCGAGCGAAAGATCCCCACGCATCATATGCTTTCCTTTGGCCGGCGCCGATATGCTTCCACAGTTTCAAATGAGGGAGTCCGAGTCATATCATCGGAGGTATAGAAGGCGTGATGATTTTACATACTGCGCAAAGTTAGATGATGTTCATTCGGTCGATTTCAATGGAAACGTGTTCGGTTGGCTCGACTTACGGAGGAAGGAGGAACTCTCCGAAGCTGGAGTGGAGGAACGCGATACCAGCCTAAAACGAATGTTGTCAGTTTCATCAATCATATTGGGATGTTCGAATTGTTCTTTAGGCAACACGTACGCCAAAGACCACGAGACTGCGGACAATGGTCTTGTTCTCGGGGTTGGTCGCCTCGTCATAGAGGGTGCTGACGAAGCCCTTCTGGGGCCGAGAGCCAGAGGGAACGATGCGCTGGTTAGGGGCCATTGTGTACGTGATGTGAGGTAGGAAGGTAGAGGAGTATGTTGATGTTGATGCTGGGGTGATGATCAGACGTCGAGAAATCTGCGGCCTCGGAACGCTTGGCGTCACTGCACCTTTAGCTCCTGTTGGCAACCGTATTTCTTTTGCCCGTTAGTGAAGGACGATGCGTGCGACAGCGTCGTCTGGCTTTTTCTTTATATTTATATTCTCTTCACTGCTGCTTTAAACGTCTCATTCACACAATCAATCTCATTTGACATATCACACCGCCTTGTAGATTGGTTGCCTTCAAATTGTCCACTGAGCAGGTGTTTTAGCCGCAGCAACCATGACGAACGTCGATGAGCTCTTTAAAGTGAGTTCCAAGTCCAATCTCTGAATCATAGGCATGGCTGACGTGCAAAGAAACCATCCGCTACAGGTAGTGCTAAGCGCAAATTCGAGCCTGTCCAAGATCCAAGTACGCCCTTTCCCGGCAAACGCGCTGGCCACAAATCTTAACCAAACCCAACAGATGAGGTCTATAAATCAGCAAAACTAGATCCAAATGTGGATATGAGATCCAAGGGGAAAGCCCCAATGGTGGAGGATGAGATAGACGACGGTGAAGCTGGACCCGAGCTCCCTCCAGACTTCGACGAGGACGTCCCAGACGACGAAGAAGGCCGCTTCTTCGGCGGTGGAATGGAGCACAAGACAGCCCAGGCAATGGAATACATCGATGAGCAGGAGGAAGAGGCTGCGGTATGGGTCTTGCTGTACAAGGGGTATTTGTCCAGGTGCTGACAGTATACTCATCTAGCCGGAAAAGTTCGACTCTGCGTGGGTGCGCCGCTTCGCATTGAACTTCGAGAAGAAGATCTCCAAGAACGCTGAACTTCGAGCAAAGTTTGAGAGTGATCCGCAAAAGTAGGTGCATGTCGAGCAGCTATGTATACCTGGTGCTAATGGTGCTGCAGGTTCATGGCTTCCGAGGCCGACCTGGATACTGAAATCAAAAGCTTGTCAATCCTGTCTGAACATTCTGACCTATACGAGGAGTTTGCCAAGATGGGATGCGTTGCATCCTTGACCTCTCTCTTGTCGCATGAGAACGCCGACATTGCAATTGATGCCATCCAGATAATCAGCGAATTGACAGATGAGGATGTGGAGGCAGAGCAAGAACAATGGGATGCTCTTGTTAATGCAATGGTATGTTGAGGCATGGTATATCAGTAACAAGTGCTAACTATGACTAGATCGAGGCCGACCTCATCGAATTGTTAGCTCAAAATCTGTCCCGACTCGATGAAGGGTCTGAAACAGATCGAGCAGGAGTATACTATGTGCTAGGTGAGTATCCCATCTCAATAGAAGGAAATAAAGCTCTGCTAATTCAATCCAGCCGTAATGGAAAACCTGGCCTCTCAGGCGTCGCATGCGGAGAAAATTGGACAGGACGCTGCAATATTGCCTTGGATCCTGTCACGTATTCAGCGAAAAGAAGCGGTTCTCAGCCAAAACAAACAATATGCCGCAGAAATACTGGCAATCCTTTTGCAGTCTACCCCAAAGAATCGCACGAAGTTTATTGAGCTTGACGGCATCGACATCCTCCTCCAGCTGCTCAGCGCGTACCGCAAACGCGATCCAGCTAAGGATTCTGACGAGGAAGAATATGTGGAGAATCTGTTTGACGCCCTCATCTGCCTTGTCGAGGAAGATACAGGGAAAGACAAGTTCGTGGAGGCCGAAGGAGTTGAGCTTGCACTGATCATGCTTAAGGAAGGCAAGTTCAGTAAGCCACGTGCTTTGAGGGTACTTGACCACGCCCTCGGTGGAATGGGAGGTGCACCGGCCTGTGAGAGGTTGGTCGAGGCAGCTGGCCTGAAGACAGTTTTCGGAATGTTCCTGAAGAAGGTAAGTTCGCTCCCTCACAGTCAAATTGCGGTGTGCTAATATCCATCCAGCAAGAGGGTCAAAACATCGAACATTTCTTGGGAATCTTTGCCTCTCTTCTCCGTCTTCTGCCTGGTGGTTCTGCTCCCCGCATCCGGACCTTGGCCAAGTTTATGGAGAAGGACTATGCGAGGATCGAGAAGCTCGTCAATCTCCGGCGCGAGTATGCCGCGCGCGTCTTACCCGTCGAACAGGCCATTAAAAAAGAGCGCAGGACGTTTGACAAAGAGGAGCAAGAACTTATGGCTGGCGAATGGCTGTCGAGGCGGCTCGACGCAGGTTTGTTCTCATTACAGGTACGGTTCCTCTTCTGCGCCGGCAAAGCTTTTTTCTAACTGCTCCAGACAATTGATGTTATTTTGGCGTGGCTTCTTGCCGAAGATGATGGAGCGAAGCGGAAGATCGTCTCACTGCTTGCGGACCGGGACGAAGATTTGTCCCTGATCCGCGGGACCTTGCAAGGTGAGTAACCCGCATGGCTATAATTTTCGGAGGCTAACTCGAGTAGAACAAATCGAAGGTCTTGGGGAGGATGATCCGGGCCATAAAGACTTGAAGGACATGCTGAGCACTCTTTTGCAGTTTGTTTGAACAATGACGGAATTGCAATGTATCATAATATCAATGTTATCACCGAAACCACCTCCAACGTTCACAGAGATCCCACTTAGTATGCCATACGGATTGAACGGCTTGCTCTCATCCTCCTAAATCCCGCCGCCTATGCATGGGGATCTCAATATTTTGAGCATTCTGCTTCCAGAAATTAGGATGAAAGTGATTCTAGCCTACGTACCAATGTGATCTCAATTCCGAACTGAAAGATATCAACGTGGCTCTATGAAATATCTAGTACGAATCCAAGGCATTCGATTAGTCTTCAATAAGAACCTACATGTACGTTGTACAAACTGGGTATATATACCTTGGGGTTTTATAGAGCAAGGTTGTTGAGGAATCCGTTCGTCGCCATATATATTGTTAGTGAATAGATCTAAATCTCTGCGACGACCCTGCGGCCACCACGACTAACACAATTTGGCGACATTATTCATTTTACACTCTTTTATTGTGGTGTTTCCTTCACTATGATCTTAAAGTCATATGTGCCCGCCATTTCGCCATGTTTGTCTCGCAGGAACAAATCAGGGCAGCCTCGACCACGATATTGCCAGGGCGGTGAGTCAGATCACGTGAATCAACCCCCCATCGAGTGAGATTCTGTAAGGATCGCATGGTTTCTATTGGATAGTACTAGCTAGGCCACAAAAGTGAATATAATTACATAATCGGTGGAGCCCTCGCTTTTAGACCAATAGAAACCCTTTCTCTCTGTGCGC